GCCCTGTTCTGAACCATATATCTTTAGTCAAAAACTTCTTAAAATAAATTAATAAGACATCTGTATCGTTGCAATAAATAATGCAGCGTGAATGCACCGAATTTTTGGCTGACAATATGTGCAATGAGATACGATTATTAGCGTCTTCGTGATTTGAATTTAAAAAAAATCGTCTTTTGATGGTTCAAAATTCTTTCCATATTTATTGATTTTCGCGAATCCACCACTAGTTAGAAATTGAATATGCTTTTGCTGAATAGAGTTTTGAAGAAGTTGCTCTGGCAGAAAATGTGTTAAACGTCTTTTGTTAAATATCTAATGAATAAACAAGTTCTATTGTTGCGGAAGTGGAATATTGGGTCGGTCAATTTCTATATCAATTTATTTCTGAAATCCTCTCTTTTGACGTGTTGTATTTTTGATAGAATGTCCTTTATAATGATCAAATACCACATCTATCATTTGTCAGATATAAAATCTCACTTTTTATCTTAGTTAATTTGTTACCTATTACGAAATACAAGTTCTTTTTATGTGCTTAACATTCATATAAAAAATGTGATCTATTAATAATTATAGTCTGTCAATTCCTGCTCTGTAATTGGGTTTATGACCTGTAGAGTATTGTATTATTATAAATAAATAAATAAATAACAAGAAGTTTTATAATAAAAAAAATGAAAAATCCTACCATATCAATAATGTGATACATCAGCCCGCCGTAGAGAGAAACAGAGCTATGCTACGTTTGAAGGTGAAGAGAAAGATACACTGAGAGTCGATAAATTTGACGGTGAGAATTAATTACAGCATAAACCTATGACATCTCTCATCGTTTATTGTTATATCTTTGTTAATTCAAAAGCAAAAAATATAGTGTTTACTCTGTTACCTTCTCAACACATAAGCAAAAATTTTATAAAGAATGTTTTTTTTTTTTCATTTAGGCCTTCGTTTTTTGTTAAATGAGTGGTATATTTAAAAAAGACGACTTTTTAACTAAATTTTTGAAGGGCTAAAACCAAGATATTTACGTTTATATTTTTTTTCGGCCGTAAGTGCTAATGCAAATGATTTTTTTTAAATAAGTATAAACAATTACTCCCTACAAAGATTTTATTGTGCATTTGACCAAAAAATTAGTATTTTTTTTCTCTATTCGGTGGTATCAATATCTGGATTTTTGATGATAATGCCCTTCTGCACAGTCTAATTTTGTATTAACTCCGGAAAAAGGGTTACCTTATCATGACCTTTCATCTGTGAAAAATTCAGCTATGTGACAAAAGAGTGGGAAGTGAATCGTTTTCTTGAGCGAATATTTTAATACATACACTTTACTAACAATGACAACAGCGGATATTATACCCACAATATATTGTGATTATACACTACTGTGTCCCTTAGAATATGTCTTATTCACGGCCGCACGATATTTGTTAATAGTTACATCTCCTGGTTATCTCTGACAACCAGCATACCTCGGTATGTAACAGCAATCGTTGGAAGTCTTTTTCATTTTCATCGCACAATTATGCAAATAAACGCGTATTCAATGCATTGCTTCTTATTTTGTTAACTGCATTAATCACAAATTGAAGCGATTGGTGCAATCTATCGCTCAAATTTTTCGCTACTAGATGTTGTCGGTGGATAACACAGTGAATCGCAATTACCTCTGGTATAATTCTTTTAAGATGGCTTATAAACCCACGATATCGCCCGACCATGGCAAGAGTTCCATCTGTTGCCACCGAAATAACGTTTGTGGATGGAATCGATTTTTCTTTAAAAAAATCACTCAAAACATTAAATATTGATTCACCTTTAGTGTCCGTCTTCAAAGTTTTCGCGAATAGTAGCTCTTCATGAATTTCTTCACCCATAACAAATCGAACATATACCAATAATAATGCTTCATTGCTAGGTAAAGTTGACTCGTCCAGTTGAATAGAAAAATGAGTTGTTCGTAGATAATCACACAAGAAATTTTCAACATCAGAGCTCATTTCATCAATACGTCTTTGTACAGTGTTGTTACTCAAAGGAATTCTTTTGAGTATGTCAAATGAAGATTTGTGCAGAACAGTTTTTAAAACCTCTTCAGCAGCAGGTAAAATTAACTGTTCTCCAATGGTGTGCGGTTTTCCAGATTTTGCGATAAGTAATGAGATATTGTAAGATGCCCGCAATCCATCATCGTTGCTTTCAGACGTTGAATAGAGAACATACTGTGCACAGTGGGGCTCTTCTCATATTTTTCCTTTAATGTTTAGAAATATTTCAAATCTTTACCTATTTTATCAGGATGACACCTTCTTAAATGATTTTCCAGCTTTGATGGTTTCAAAGAGTCATTGCTCAAAACTTTGTTGCATAAAAGGCATGTGGGCAATCGTTTGTCTACTTTTGATGGAAGAAAACCAAATTTTAAATATTCTACACTGTACTGACGACACTTCTTCTTAGATTCGGCCATGTTTTGTATCAATTTCCTACCTGTAAATATATAATTAAATAAATAAAAAAAAACTTTGTTTTAGTAATCTCAAGGCGATTCGAACTTAACAGGATATGACTATTTTAACATAATATGATTAATCAATTATTATAAATATTATGAAATAAACAAAGTTCCTGCTGCAAACTGTTTCTAATAATTATTAAAAGCAATAAATCGCTAAGATCCATAATAGAGTTTTATGAAAACGGCTGAACTTATTTTAATGTGATATAAAATTATTATTTCATTTATTATATTTTAATATATTTCTGTAAATTCTATAGAAACTTTTAAACAATATTTTGATATCAAAACTCCGCAATAATTAAATGAATTAGATAGGTAATAACAATAAAGTAGAGACGATAAGTTCAATCTTTCTCAGCTTAAAACTATATGCATATAACAAATAGGCAGGTAGGTACTTACTTTTCCAACACTGGCAATCACTAATATCGATTCACTTTACTTTTCTTTTCGAAAGTCTGGAAACAAATTCAGTCACTGGCCAACACTAATATATCGATTCATTTTTCTTTATGAAATTCCAGAAACAAATGAGTAACGATTATGGCTTGACATTCTTATTTATATTGGTGAAGAATCAAACACGTTCATGCAACATTGCAAGCACATAACACCAAGTCGTATTAATTTGCACGTCTGAACAAGCGTTGCGGACGGGACGGCGGCCGGCGCGGCAACGACAACCCAGACAACACACCAAATCCTTTGGATATCTACTGAACATCACAATATCCACTGAATGTCCAGTCCATGGTAGATATATATTTTATATCCATGAGATGTAATTTATGGACATGCAAATGAATGTCCATAAATAATAGTAATTATATAGCAAATTATTAAAAAATCTCGCCATTGTGGCTAATAGTACCGTTCAGATATTTAAAATTAATTTTTTTAAGGTGTATTCAATATCCCATGAACATCCACTAAATATATCAAAGTCTAGGCGCGAACGCAAACCATCGTGAATATCCACTAGATGTTATTTGATTCTGCTTACCACTATCGCATCTACTCATGCTCGACCCGCCGTAATAGAGTTCGATCGAAATTTTTTATCCTACACACTCCATTAGAGACTGGAGTCGAGAACTTCCATTTATTGCTGAAGAGTCCTAATAAGGATGACTTTCTCCTCTTTAGTGGGCAAAATCAAAGGCAGAGTGTTGAAAATATTTTTTATCTCTGCTATTTTCTTTCGACGTTATTCAATAATCATTGGATGAACCTCTACTAAAGATACCTATAAAATATTTAATTGAATATCCGAATATCTTCTATATCCTGGGATATAGACGGACATTTGGTTGGATATCCATATTGGATATATTGAATATCCACAAAATATATTCTGTGGATATCTCTGGGATTTCTTGTATTTTTGGAAGATACCCATTAGATATTTTGCTGAATATCCATTAGGATATCTTCTATATTCTGGATATAGACGGACATTTGGATATCCATATTAGATCCACGGAATATTTCTGATATCCTGTAGATATATTGGATATCCACAAAAGATATTCTGTGGATATCTCTGGGATTTGGTGTGTTGTCTGGGAAGTCACGTCGCGTTTTACTGAATATGGAATATGCAAGTTTTTACAAGTAACAGTCGCTGAGCTTCTTAAAATATTATCTGCCTACATTGATAAGAGAAGTCAAGTCAACATTTTAGTAACAAAAATGTTGACTGTTTATATAATAAACAGTTGAAGTTTTTTATAAGAATTTCTTCATCACATGGAAAAATGAGTAATCAATTGTTTAATAGTAAATAGTCTGAATATTATAATGAAAATAGTCGATGAATTTACATACGATGTAAACTGTAAAGTCTCTTGATATACCTATGACTCTAGACGGAAACAACTATTATATCTATTATTATCGTTACCATTACACGATGTTTTTTTTTACTAGAAATGGACATGATACGATTAAAAAAAGTCTATTAACTTTCACGTTCAAAACGCATCCAACATTCATAATTAAAACAATAATGACCCACTTTTATCAGGTTGTAGGTATTTCCAAAGCACATTTTCATGCAAAAATTCATAAAACGGTAATTTTAAAAAATAAACAGGTTCGCATTTTTATTGAAGTGTACCTACATAAGTATCTATATATCTAAATTTTTTAGGTGATACTTTTGTAACAAAAGATTTAAATTTTGTATAGGAAGTGTTAACTGTCAAGTCACAAATCATGGAAAAATTCACAAATAGTATAGAGAAATAGAAATAACCAATTTCTGTTGTTCACTTCCCGTTCCTGTACCCCACTACAAATAGCCTATAAAAAGGCGACGTACACTTTTGTAGTCAGCATAGGGACCAAAAGTTAATCCGTCCATAAATTAATTAAAACCATGTCCCTGAAGTGTATGCAGCACAACATACACCAAATCAATTAAATACCGAATATAAAGTGTATTGGTAACACTGTTATTGATCTGTCACCTGTCACTGCCTTTAGTAGCCACTGTAGCCAGTCAAAAACAATTTTATTTCTTTTTTTGTTAAATATCGTGGAATTAATTGGTGTTTTGGTGGTTGATTGTGGATTGTGTTGTTGACTTTAAGTTTCGTATTAAGATTAAACAGAAAGTGCGATGGCTGCTGGTTGTTGTGGTACCAAGAAGCAAAAACTAAATAATTCGTCGAGCCTTCCATCCTGTAATGGATCGTCTATTGTTCCCAATGGATTTAATAATGAAACAGGAACGGTCGCGTTACCAGATATGTGCTTCTTTTGTTTTGATGTCCTCTATTGTCATTTGTATAACCTCGCACCTCCAAAAAATCCATCCTTCAGTAATGACGCCTAGTAAGTGACGTTAGTTTAATTTACCCCTAATGGAAATTTAAAAAGTTGCTGAAAGGGTCATTGAACTTTAAAATCGCGTTCATTGTTTAGGGAATGATCATACCTAAATACAATAAATGAATAAATTATTTATCATCATCCTGTCAGTTTTTAGTTAATTAATTCAACAGGATTTTCGTTTAGTAAATTATGTATGAAAATTATGAAGGTTCTTTGTCATTGTGTGCAATTTGATTTATTTTTAACTTCAGCCAAACGTATTGGGTACCTTGACCTAGAATTTTTTACAGTTCTTTGAGTTACAAAAAATTGTTCCAAACAATAAAAACTCAAATATCCTATAGGAAGTTGTTTTTTTAATAAATTAAGTTTTTATGATAAATAATATATGTTTAATAAAATATAATCCAGACATACCTACTTTGTTTATGTGTTTATCCAAAGATTAATGATATTGTTTTTGTTAATAAGATATGGTGAACAAATAAACAGTTGCATTAGTGCATAAAATATAAGAAAAAAGTTTTTGATAAGAATAATGGTTGTAGTACACTTTAAGCAAGTACATCAAAATAAGTACCCATTCGAAAGGGTGCATTTCTAAAAAAAAAAAAAAAAAAAAATTACTAACAATAGACTATTTTTTTGAGAAAAATTGTATCAAAAGTTGCAATTTTATAGGTTGTTGGCCATATATTGATATGTACCATTCATGTATTTATTTATTTCATCAAGATAGAATAAATTAGAGATGACATAAACACTATTTTGTGATATGACACTTCAAGTGATGGAAAAGTGTGATGGAAAAGTGTGATGGAAAAGTGTGATGGAAAAGTGTGATGAAAATTTATTTGAAGTCAATAATTTTATTCTATACCATAATATGTAGCTATTTAAAGTAAAATAGCATTTATTCTCACCAAATCTGACTATCCCAAGTTTGACATTGACGTAAAAATGTAAAGGTGCAGACAATTTAGTATCATCATATCATCTTCTCTTTATTCTATCTCAATGATTTATTTATTTATTATACCGGAAAACCCCATTATAGTAAAAAAATATACAACACAATAGAAAAAATATACAGTGTCTAGCCATACATCAGTGGCGTAGCCAGCCATTTTTCATGGAAGGGGTTTTTTAAAACTATCTGGGGGGGTTTCATCAAGAAAATGAATAAAAACAAACAGTCAATAGCGATCAGCACCAATACTATAGGTGACACACATATGGTGACACAAGGACCCAACATGGGGGGTTCTGACCCCTCCAAACCCCTCCCCCCCCGTGGCTACGCCACTGCCATGCATACTATAATAATGTCAATATTTACATACTACAATATTACAGATGTATTGAGATCTATTTCTTTTTTTTTTTAAGATATATATTGACAGAAAAACCGATATCTAACTCATTGGCCTTTCTGACCATTCTTTACAAAGGACTAAAATAGTCATAATTTGTGTTTGAAAGGGCACAATAAACAAGTCTTTGTTTTTCGTACACCTTTGAGGAATAAGAAACTGAATAAGTTGAAGCATGTTGCTGAAATTAGTTAAACCCGAAATCAATTTAAATAATACAACAAGGGCAACAGTTAATCTACGAAATTCCAGCAATTCTAAATTCAGTGATCTCTCTATATCCTCATACTTATATTCCCTATGTCTTAATCCTAATTTGTATCCACAGTATCTTAAAAAATTATTCTGAACAGCTTCAATAAATGAAACATGGACATTGTAAAAAGGTGTCTAGATAGGCAACCCATATTTAAACAGGGATCTGACATATGCAGAATATACTTCTTTGACTGAATTTATCGAGAGACCACTAGAGTTTCTCACTATAAATCCAAGGGTCTTTTAAAGCTTTACCAGTGAACTGATTAATATGTAGGTTAAATGTCAGATTCTCTTCAACAAGCACTCCCCAAGTCTTTTATGTCAGTTACTCTGTTGAAGACTGTATCGCAAATAGAATAATCAAAGTTTATTTTGTTGTGTACTCTACTACCAAATGTAATCGTGTAACATTTAAAAATATTGAGAGACATACAGTTTTTCACAGACTAATTATGGAGAGCTTGCATATTAATTTGAAGAAGAGGACAATCAATCATATTATGTATAGCCATGTAAAGTTTTAAGACATGTGCAAAAAGTAGAAACTTGGCATATTTGAAAATACTGCCAATGCATAGTAAAAACAGCTAGGGCCCTAAGTGAGAGCCCTGTGGGACTCCAGAAGGCATCAGAATGTAGTCTGAAGTACTGCTGCCAATCTTTATTATCTGGATTGTTCCAGTTAAATAGCTTTTTAGCCATGAAATAAAAGGATAAAAAAAACCAAAAGATATAGTTTGTGTAATAATAATGAATAATTCACATGATTGAAGGCTTTACAGAATAAATTGAATCCACCTGCAGATTTTTTTTCATTGATTATCAAATTATTACAATACCAAGAAATGACATTTTATTTTTCAAAAAATTTAGGAATAATAGATAGTATAGCATACTAATTAATAGGTCTGTAATTCTGAATATCGTTTTGGTTGTCATTTTTGAAGATAGGTACCACATAACTACTTTTCCAGATGTCTGCAAAATAATTTACCTTCATCGAGGAATTAAATAGTAAAAATAATGAATGAGTCAATGTAAACATACATTTTTTTCAGAAAGAATGAAGAAATTCCATCTGGTCTATGGCTTAATTTATCATTTAGATTTAGTATATCATTAAAAACTTCTTGTACTGAAAACTTGATACAAGGAATATGAAAAGTGTTTGATATCTAAATTAATATTTGATAAGTCTGTTTTTTCATGACTGTAAGTACTAGAAAAGTGTTTAGAAAATAAATCAGCAATGCGTTGGGATGTATCACATGCCTTATCATATAAGAATATAGTGCCAGGCAAGAAAGAGTCATTTTTTAAAAATTTATAGTAGTTGCCCTCTCCACTCGAGATAGGTAATTACTGTAACATTGTCTATATAGGAATTTACACTGTGCTCTTAAGTTTAAGAAAATACAGTGGCCACCCTGTATAAAAATTTAATAATAATAATAATAATAATAGGAGACTTTAATGCAACTGGCAACAAATATAAGAAGAAACAGCTAAGTAACTTCACCACGAATACATGGTTCAAAATATATTCTACTTCACCAATTCACAAAACCCAAACTCAACTCCTCATATTTTACTATACTCACCTAATCTTCAACACAATATTTATATAGGTATTTATTTATTCATGGGCCTTGTCCATTTTCACTACAAAATTACAAATAAAAACAAAAAACCTCAAATAAAATCGATCTAAATAACATGTCATAATAATAATAAACTAATAAACTAACAACAAAAATCATAAATATTAACATGTACAAAATCAAAACAACTAATATTAAGACTAGGGAATTTAAGTCACAATAAGTTTTAACACCCTCACAAAATTAGAAAAACTTGAATTAAAAAATTTTAGACTATCAGCACAAGCATTAGCGCTTCGTGAAACTCTAGGCATAAATGAATTGAGGCCAGTATTAGTTTTCATGTAGGGCTGATGAAAACTATTTGCTGATCTTGTGCTTCTAGTTGGGGCTGCCAACAACATGCTTGAAATCAATGTAGGGCAGTCAACCAAATAATTAATGAGCTTAAAAAATAATTTCAGATCTCTTCTTATTTTCAAAGTTGGTAAGGGGAATGTCTCTTGCAGTGCCGCAAAATCATAGAAATAGTCATCTATCCGTGAAATATTTGATTTAAATGCTAAGTAGCGAAGAAATTTTCTCTGTACCTGTTCTAATCTATGAATGTGACAAGTACACTGGGGTTTCCAGACTGAAGAGCAATATTCTAGCAGAGGCCTAACAAGACTACAGTACAATAACTTGATAGCATTAATACTTGTAAAGTCTGATGTACTTCTCTTTATAAACCCAAGCATACCAAGTGCTCAGGGTACTATTGTGTCAATGAGAGCATGGAGTTCATAATAACTCCCAGATCTTGAATAGTGTACCCTTGATATTATATTGATAATCAATCCTGTTGATCTTCCTAGTAGAGGATATTGAGTGACACTTAGTGATGTTTAGTTCCATAGCATTATTTGCACACCACTCATCAAGCCCAGCCAGATCAGACTGAAGTTTGAGACAATCCTCAAGAGATGAAACTGCTAGGTAGCACTTTAGGTCATCAGCAAATCATAAAAATTTGGCAAACTTGATACATTCTGAGATATTTATAAATAATAAAAATAATGGGACCCTTGGGGGACTCCAGATGGATTGGGAATGTTTTTAGATCTGTAATTATTCAATTTAAGAGTTTGGAATCTTTCAGATAAATAACTCGCCAGCCATTGCAATAATGTTCTCATGGTCCCAGCAGTGTCCAGTTTATTTAACAAAAGTTTGTGATTGACCCTGTCGAACGCCTTGGAAAAATCTGTGTATATGGCATGCACCTCACCACCTCTATCCAAGACGTCCGACATATAGTCAACAAAAGCATACCCAGACAGCACACCAAATCCTTTGGATATCTACTGCACATCCCAATATCCACTGAATGTCCAGTCCATGGTGGATATCTATTTTATATCCATGATATGTAATTTATAGACATGCAAATGTCCATAAATAATAGTAATTATATAGCAAATTATTAAAAAATTACGCCATTGTGGCTAATAGTATTGTTCAGATATTTAAAATTAATTTTTTTAAGGTGTATTCCATATCCCATGGACATCCACTAAATATATCAAAGTCTAGGCGCGAACGCAAACCATCGTGGATATCCACTAGATGTTATTTGATTTTGCTTACTAAGTATAGATGGCGATACTACTTTCGCATCTACTCATGCTCGACCCGCCGTAATTGAGTTCGATCGAAATTTTTGTTCTAATCAGACTCCATTAGAGACTGGAGTCGTAAATTTCCATTTATTGCTAAAGAGTCCTAATAAGGATGACTTTCTCCTTAGTGGGCAAAATCAAAGGCAGAGTGTTGAAAATATTTTTTATCTCTATTGTCTTTCGACGTTATTCAATAATCATTGGTTACTTATGAACCTCTACTAAAGATAAAATATGTTGCTGAATATCCGAATATCTTCTATATCCTGGGATATAGACGGACATTTGGTTGGATATCCATATTGGATATATTGAATATCCACAAAATATATTCTGTGGATATCTCTGGGATTTCTTGTATTTTCTGGAAGATACCCATTAGATATTTTGCTGGATATTCAATAGGATAGCTTCTATATTCTGGATATTGACGGACATTTGGATATCCATATTAGATCCACGGAATATTTTTGATATCCTGTGGATATATTGGATATCCACAAAAGATATTCTGTGGATATCTCTGGGATTTGGTGTGTTGTCTGGAAAATAAATTCAGTTCCATAGATTTTTTGTTAAGAAACCTAAATTGTTCTTATATTATTGATAAACTTAATTTAGATCTTAAGTAATCAGCCGCTATCTTTTCAAACAACTTTGGAATGGAACTAAGATTACAGATGGGTCTATAGTTGGATATGTCTGCTCTGTTACCAAATTTGAAAATAGGTGTAAGATAGCTCACTTTCAGGAAATCTGGGAATATGCCCGAAGCAAAAGACATTAAATATAATGTGAAGTGTCCGCGAGAGAACAAAACTACAAAATCTGAGAACATAAGGGGGGATACCATTAGATCCTGGTCCATTGGTAATGTCAATACTAGCCATTTCTTCATAAATAGTTGATATAGGAATAGCATACTCAGATATTTAAATGTGATTATGTGACTGTTTACTTTGAGGATCAATATTCTTATCAGTATATACTGACTGGAAAATGTGCCTCAGGGGTCAATTCTTGGACCAACGTTTAATAGTTTAACAATAATCTACAATTTACAATGTTACAATTATAATATAATAATTTATTTAATACAATTTATTATTTTGATTTGATGCACCTAGATCCAAGCCTCAGTTTGTGTAATACATTTAAATAATTGTCAATAAATGGTATAAAATTGGTATTATTTAATTTTTTTACTAATTAGCACTGAAATTTTGAAGAGCTAAAGGTAAGCATTATTACAGCAATGTTTAGCATTTTTAGAAAATGATTTTATATTTTTTATGTCTTATGTTATTTCTGATTTATATAAACTCCATAGTTGGGTATCTGCAAGTATATGCTGATGACTCATGCCTCATCTAGAGGAAATAAAGAATATTATAGAGGAAGATTTAAATCAAATCTTTAAATGGTTAAAGTTTCATAAATTAACAATGAATACTGAAAAGTCACATTTTTTAGTGATATCAAAAAAGCCCAATTTCAAATAGACAATGAACAGTTAGCTAGAACAGAATGCATTAAATATCTTGGAGTTTCCAAGCTCAAATGGGAATATCATATTACTCAATTGTGTACAAAAAATTAGTTCTGCCATTGTTTTGGGACGAGTTGCCTAGTATCTTTAAGCTGACTTAAGAAAGACTATATCATTCACTAATCCATTTACATCTATCATATTTAACTCTCATTTGGAGCAAAACTTCCCAATATAGACTAAAACCCTTGCAAATTCTACAGAATATGGCTTTCAACTTTCATTTTGTCATCCAATTGATCTTTTGTATAATATTCTAGACATGCAGTCCCTCTCTAAATATCAGATGTGCATCTTTATTCATAACCTGTCTCTGCTAATGATATCCATGGAAATAATACCAGGAACAAAACCACAGCCATAAGAACATGCTTAGGTGACCGAAGCATACTATCAAATGGTCTTCCAAGCATCAAAAAGAACATAAGGACTACCATAACCTGTTTAAAAAAAATAAAAACATTCTTAATTGACTCTTTTTAGTTTACATTTTCAGGTTTAAATAATGGTATGGTATTAGATATTAAATTACTGTATTTGTATTAATTTTGTGTAGTATTATGACTAAGTACATAATTCTTCTTCAGTGACATTATAAAATTTGTAAAACCCACATAGTCTTGAACTCTGGGTCTAGATATGCCGTTAGATATTTATTAATAAATTGACGAAACCTTAACAGAAACTCTTGACAACACTGTATGAAAATTACAATACCCTTCAACTTTAAACTTTTGATCAATTTTTCTCAGAAAAGTCTTCCCCATTTTTTAGAAATGTACTTTTTAGTGTTTAAAAATTTAGTAATGAAATAAATAATTATTTTCCCATTAATATAAGAATATACCACTGAATACTATATAAAGTTATTACAGAGGATATTTTTTTAGTCCTTTATTCGTTACATGGAAAATAGGCAAGGACAAGCGTTTGAGAGGATGTATTGGAACATTCAATGCACTGAATCTGCAATCTGGCTTGAGGGAGTACGCCATTACTAGCGCTTTGAAAGATTCCAGATTCAGCCCGATCACTCGAGACGAGTTTCAAAAGCTGAGCGTTTCCGTGTCAATTTTGAGGCATTTCGAAGATGGCGACGACTATTTAGACTGGCAAGTCGGAATTCACGGTATCAGAATCGAATTCATTAATGAAAAAGGAAATAAACGGACCGCTACTTATTTACCGGAAGTTGCCTCTGAACAGGGTAGGTAAAATTTTAATTTTTTTTTTTATTATAGAATTGTAGCTTTTGTATTTGCAAGTATTTATCGGTGAATAATGTCTTTTTGTCCTTAGATTGGAATCGCGTTTTTAACTATATAAAGGACATCTTTAATGGGATATTAATAGATATTTACTTAAAGGTTTCATTCATTTATTTCAGTCCTGGTTTGAAATCCTTTTGTTTTAAATTTATGTTAATTATTATGCCACAAGTGTTTGAAAAAATATATTTAGAAGTAATCTAATATAATGGGTTATACGAGAATATATAAATGTCTTTTTTCTACTACCTTGCGTAAAGTACATACTTTTTTCACTAGTGCGTAAAAGTAAAATTTGACAAAAATTGTACACAGCAATAAAATACTTTACCCACTTGTGAAAAAAGTTACTTTTATATTTCTAATATTAGTGGATAATGTGTACGGTAGTAGAAAAAATATTGTATGCAACTCGTGTGTAAAGTCCCTTTTTTGACTCATGTGATTGTCACACTCATCTTCGGCTCGTGCGACAACATTTACATTCGTCAAAAAAGAGTAACTTCACACACTTGTTGCATAAATAACTATTTTTTTTTTAATATAGATTGTCAGTGTACTTATTTAAATTGCTATTTAAGTATTCATGAGATGAAATGTAATGACAAAGAAGTGCGTTGTATCAAATTGTTTATAATTTAAATGATACTTATCAGAAAAAATAAATTATATTTCTGCCCAGAGACTTTAATGTGAGAAAATTGTGTTTTAAGGCAGTAGAGTATTGTAAAAATATTTTTATATAATTTTAAATGTTTTCTAATATAAATAAGTCTTTCAAAACTTTAAAATGTAAGCCTAATAAATATGTAAAACTCTCAAAATCAGATATTTTGTAGATACGACCTCTTGTCTTAGCAGGGCAGAATAGCAAAAGCAGATGACCTGGTCATTTTGAAAATAGGGAATTTTATTAACACACTCGACACACTCCCACTGCTTCAAGCGAACATCTTACCGAAATAATCTTCCATAAGCTATATAAAGTTATAACAGAACAAATACAAGAGCCAGAAGTGGCAGGTACGATTCACACCTACATCGACAGATTTAAAACAAACATTTTATGTTTATGCTTATCTATACAGATAGCAGACAAGCACTATTAGAATGTCACGAAGCTTTAGCCGAAATATCCATCAACAATGTGGTCACCTTAAAATGGATCAAAGGTGACGCCACATCGAAAGGTATCCGTCTTGCTAATTCACTAGCCAAGAAAGCAGCCAACCAAATACTTTTTGAACCTGACTCTTTTATTAGTGTGACAAAATCGGTAGTGACAGACCTAATTAAAGAACATTCCCTTGTGAAATTCAAGGAAAGATAAGATGAACCAAGAAACTGGAGAGTTGCCAGGGAGCTTTTAAGTTATTCTAACACTGCAGCAAAAAAATACTTGCCTATGACTAGACAGAATCTGCGCCTAATCACAGACATTTTGACTGGCATTGCCGAGTACAGAAGCATGATGGTGGGTGAGGTTTTCCGAGTTTTCCTTACCTGTAAGTCAAATGGCACCATCAGTCATCTTTAAGTCGCCCCGGAGCGCCATGGCAAATAATAATAATAATAATAATAATAATAATAGCCATCCCTTCCCCTACACAAGTAGTTCAGTCAGCTTCAAGGGTTGAAATTAACTCGTAAGGGGGTGAATTAGGGAGAGTATTATTATTTAGTTTTTAACATTTCGTCGGCTTTGAGCTGACGGAAACAATGTGTAGTGAGGAGGGAATTCACCCTATCTCACTTGTTTATTTTGGTGTTGTTTTATTATAGCTTTTTGTTTAGATATTGAGGAATTTACGGACAATGTGGCATGTTTATAATATAGTAGCCTTTTGTTGTCTATTGATAGTGTTGTTCTTTATTTCCAATAATTTAATTTGATGTTCTAAATTCTTAGACACGACTCCTGTAACAGACACCATTATTGGTATGATTTTAATATGTTTTGACTCCCAAATATGCTTAATTTCTATTTTCGTATTTATTTCGTTTTTTTGTTTCAATTTTAGTTTTATTGTTATCTAGAGGGCATGCTACATCTATAATCCAGGCAGTTTTAAGTTTTTTTGTTAATAAGAAGAATGTCTGATCTGTTATATTCAATTGTTCTGTCCGTTAATATTGGATTGTCCTAGTACAATACTGCATCCTGATTTTCTAATACCTGATTAGGATTGGATTTGTAGTTGGCTCGGGATTTTCGAGCAACTCATAGTTTTTAGCTAGTTCGATATATATAGGGATTTCATTTCAAAACTAGCCACCCAAAATAACTTTTAAAATATCTTTAAAACAAAAAAACACGTTAATTTATATTTACGGGGGACACATTTTACAAGTATCTGTAACCGTGCAGTTTCATCCCCTAAGCGGTGGTGAATATCACTTCTAAAATTTTAAATAGAAAGGGGTATCATGTGATAGCTCTTCTTAAAGGTCTCTTTTTCTCCAATCTTTTGACACATTATTTTTTTAAATCAGATTAATTTTTCACCAAGTTATGCCATTTTAACCTTTTAAATTAAAATTATTATTATTTACATTGTATTTACATTATTAATATTTTATTTGCGTAAGAATTACATTGTACTTAAATAAGATGTTCAAAATGTCCGCCATTGTTGACAAGGCAATGGTAAAGTCGCAGCTCGAATTCATCCCGCACTTTTTGAAGGGTCTCTGGTGTAATCCGCTCACACTCCTCCACTATTCTACGTCTAAGTTCAGGAATATCGCGAGGTTGAGTTTTATACACCACAGTTTTTAGATGTTCCCATAAAAATAAGTCAAGGGGCGTTAAGTCGGGTGATCTCGCTGGCCATTCTATAGCGCCCCTTCTTCCGATCCATTTATCTGGAAATGTCTCATTAAGCCAATTTCGTACAGGCAAGGCATAATGTGGAGGTGCTCCGTCCTGTTGAAAAAATAGGTTTTCTTCGTTTAGTAACAAATTTCCATCTTGATCTATTTGGTTTTCTAAGGATTCGGTTATAAGAGGATTTATCAGATTTTCTAATAAGTTCAAATACAATTCCCCAGTTAAATTTTCCTCCATGAAAATAGGACCAATAATTTTATTACCAAGAATTCCGGCCCATACGTTGATTTTCTGAGGATATTGGCTGTGCTCTTCCCGAAAAACATGTGGATTTGTATTGTCCCAGTACCTACAATTATGTTTATTGACAAATCCATTTAAAAAGAAACCTGCCTCGTCAGTAAAACAAATATTTTTAATAAAATTATGGTCTTCAATTCTAATCTTCTGTCATAATCATCCTCAGCAAGCTGTTGTAAAAGCTGTATTTTGTAAGGAAAGAATTTATTTAGCCGTAACGTTTTATGCACAGAGCCAACGGAAATATTTGTTAATCTGGAGACTTTTGGTATTGATGTTATAAGCGTTGGATGGCTGATGATGGGACCTAAATGTTATAAGATGTCTTCTGGTTAGTCTGTTTAGTTCATCTAGATCTACTTGGGAATACTTCAATAGGCCAAAGGAGTATGTTAACACAGGTATAGCCCACATATTAACAGTTGTAAAAAGATTTCTTGCATTCAGTTTGGTATTAAGCAATTTTGTAATTCTGCTGCGGTATTTTTCTTTAAATTCCCTCTTTAAGAGATGTGTGGTCAATTGTCTTGTTTTGAGCTATTCCTAGATATTCGTTTCGTTTGGTTGTATAGGATTTATTCCTCGGATGTTATTTTTCTCTTCTATTTTCCCCCTGAAAATTGTTATATATGCACATTTTTCCAGTCTAAATGACATACCAATATCACTACTGTAGTTCTCTGTAGTGTGTTTCATTTCAGTTAGTTGTTTTTTGGATTTGGCATATAATTTTATATCGTCCATGAACATGATGTGATTTAGTTGATACTTTTCCCTAGTAGATTAAATTAGGAGTTGGACGTTATTTGTCCGCGACCTTTTCAGATCTATTGTGGGACTCCGTTTGTTTTAGAATGTGTCGTCTAGCCTGGTCTTTTTCATTAGACTTAGTAGCTCCCGCATGTAGTTGCATGCATTTGGCTTCTCTTCGCCCAATGTTAGAAACCCCATTTCAGCTTCTTCTGCTGGATTGATGACACTCATGTGTCTTTTGAGGCGTCATTGTCCAGTAAGAAGGCCTACTGTTATCCTTTTCCCTAGTTTCAATCTCATAGCCCAATCCAGTGCGATTAAATAGATTTGAGAGGGGGTTTAGTGCTAATACAAACCATAATGGGCTTAATGAATCTTCCTGGAAAATACCTTAAGAAATTTTTATTTCTTTTAAGACCCCTCCATTACAATGCAGTTTTACTCTCCACGTCTTCATAAAACTTTAGAATTTCTTTTAGCCAGTTATGTGGAACGGAATCGAAGGCTTTGGTATAGTCTATATATGCCATGTTTATATTTCTCTTTTTGTTATCTTATTTGGTAACGAAATAATCAATAGTAAGCTGTTCATTACAGCCTAAGCTTCTTCTGATACACCCTTTCTGTTCAATTGCTATAAAATTATTTTGTTCACATTGTTCATAGATTCTGTTTTGAATTAGGGACGTAAAGAGTTTGTATATTACTGAGAGGCAAGTAATTGGTCTATAATTTCAGGGTTCATTGGTATCATCTTTCTTATAAATTAAGAAAGTATTTCCAATACCCAAGAATCCAGGAAATTCTTCCAAGTTTCCAATGATTTGGTTAAAAGAATTTGCTAATACCTCATGTAGTGGTGTAAATTTTTTTAACCAAAAGTTCTGAATTTTGTCAGGACCTGCAGCTTTCCAGTTAGCGGTTTTTCTAACTGCTTCCTTTATTTCGTCAGGTGTTAACATTACATCTCTCATATTTGAACTTCTTCAAGCCATTCGGTATTTATCTTTGCATTTGTTGTTTAAGACCAGATATCTGTCCAATAGTTATTAAAAGCTTCTTTGTCAATGGTGTCGTTTTGTGGATCTAGGTTAGCTGTTAGTGATCGGAAAAACTTTTGAGGGTTTTGTTGGAATTGGCGATTCTGGAGTTTGCGCTTAGTCATTTCATTATACCTTCTTAATCTAGCACCCTTCATTTAATACCTTTGGCGTAAATTATCTTTATGATTTAATAACTTTTGGTAGAATTGTTTATCATTTTTCTTTAGTTTCAATTTTTTGCAGATACCATTTATTTTATTTTTAGGCTTATTATTATTATCTTCATATAATCAGGCTGTCAGAATCCTCACTCTACAAGGGGGGGCAAACAAGATGAGACCATAGAGCATATCCTCTACGATTGCTCGACGTTCTCATTTATTAAAAGATTTGTGTTCGGCGAGTATCTGATAAAAATTAAATTAACCTTAAAATTTGGGAATTTTTGTACTGGCGCCTCAATCACGTTAATTTAGGTTGATCTTGGGCGTACTCGCTACCCCCACAATCTTGTATTTGTGATTTTCAGTGTTAATATTTGGTTCCATGATCAGTTAATGTAAGTTTTCTGTGATCATCTGATAATTGACAATTCTCACGCTCTGACATACTTTGTCTTGAAAATATATATGTATACAGAATTGCGCGAAAGTCCGCAGTAAAATTATTATTTGTTCAACCAGTAATTAAAAAAAAACGCTGAAACACGTGAATGGATTATTTTTTTTTTGTTTCATAGATGTTTATTTTTATTTAATACTGCTGTTTCTGTTTTCCTTCCACAAACCTATTGTAACGACTGTAAACAAGGTAGAGGTAGAGCCTGCATCATATAATTTTCATTCTTGTTTCTTTCAAGTGCTTCTTCACGGTTTTTCCGCTGGGACCGACATATCTTTGCGTTACAGCAGATTTATCCGTTTCCAGAAATTCCTATCAATTTATGAAAATCTTTGTACCATTTATTCCTTAGACTAGGTATTAGTCTAAGATTTACTCGAAAAGAATAATTATAATTTTAAGTGACACTTGACAAACGTTAAACGGATTAATTCCCACGTTGGGCGCCAAAAGTATCGCAAGGATCGGGCGAGAGATGGTACTTTGAAAGTCATTCGCATAGTATTTCAGATATCAACTGCGTAAAGTAGAAAAGAAGATGAAACTTTACTCAATTGAAATGTTTGTTTTATAGTACGGTACAGTAAAATATAATAAAATTTGTGTGTAAACGTTGTTCCAGGGTGGGATCAGCTCCAAACCATAGACTCTCTTCTGCGCAAAGGCGGGTTCAAATCCATAATATCGAGCGAAGTGCGCCGTACGATAAAACTGACTCGTTATCAAAGTGAAAAGATAACAGTGACTTATCAGGAATATATGAACCATTGGAACAACCAACGGTGCTAGCAGTTAATGTGGGGGTGCCCCGTAGTAGCGCCCCCACATCCCCCCTACAACAACGCCACCGCAGTGCCCACGTTCATGATGGTGCAACCGCAACAGCAGCCGCAGCTTCCGATTCAAATTCGAACGGTCGGTCCGGGTGCGCCCGTGTTGAGACCGCCGCCCTATACAGTTACTGCCCCTATGGCCGGTGTGTGGTGGGACGACTATCATGGAAGGCCTTCGTATCGCCAGGAGGTGTCCATGTTGTCGACCGTGCATCCGGCTCAGTTTAATTCAGTTTATAATTCTATTCATAAACAGAAATGACCAATAAGTTGTTTTTATATATTATTATAATGTAGAGGTGCTAGATTTTATTCCCGGTCCCAGGTAACGATTGGATTCCTGTCTGCTGGCTCTGATATGTATATATTTTTTGGTTGGACATGTATATTAAACAATAATTTTGTTTTATTTTTTTTTTACCTACTATAAAGTTCAAAAACTTTATTTGGGATAGCATATATACAGGGTGTCCAGATGGACTGAAAACGAGGAGTAAAAACTTATATTTTAACTTCATAAAAGTTTTTGCTTGTTTCAAAAGTAATAATCCAAATAGAAGTTGAATATCTCTTTGCTTTAATGAAATAATGATAAAAATAATGTTTGTCATTACTTCACTAAAACAAAAATATATTCAACTTATGTTTAAATTATTATTTTTGAAACAACAAAAACTTTTGAGAAGAATAACATTTTCTCTAAAAGTTGAAAATAAAAAGATTTGTTTCTTTTTCAGTCCATCCGGGGACACTGTATAACTTATTAGTTTTTCTCCTGTATTTTATAAAAATATGGTAAATTTTCCTGGACTATTTTTTTTTTTTATTTTTAAATATTTTGGACGAATAATGATAATAAATACTGCGAGTAATTATAATAACTCAGGAATAATTTCCAAGACATTTGGAGAATAAGTAATGTATAATTTTTTGGTTTTATTGTTTTCCAATATTATACACTTTCAAACTCAAAAGTAGTTAGTTCTCAAAAAGGACCATCATATTTTTTTGTTGCATATTGATGTATACAACGTGTATCTATATATAGTGATTTTTTTACCAATGAATATGTTTTCCTAGACTATTTATTTTTAAGCTTTGATTTCCTAGAAAGCGGTACCGTTACATAGCGATCTATAATGACATCACAAAAAAATATTTAATGTAGTGCAGTTGAACTAGTTTCCGAAGAGAGCGTTCCTGTACACTATAACTTGAAATATCTGAGCAATAGTGGCTGGAAACAGTTAACCAAAGTTTTTCGTATCTGTGTGCAAATTTCTTATTTATATCTGACATAAACGTAAGAATATGTCCACATATGCGTTTTCTGACTAACATCTACTTCCACCAAAATGCTCGTAACATTTTTACAACATTACGAGGATGGGATGAAAAGTTCCCGGCCTAACATAGAACGCAACACAATAGTGACTGAATAAGAATTTATTTTTCTACATAGTCCCCTTGTAGGGTAATACATTTGACCCAACGATGTTCAAGCGATTTAATTTCGTCACTGTAGTCTGAATTATCCAACTCGTCAAAATAGACGTTTGTGGCTGCAATTTCTACTAAATCCGTGGAAAATTTTTTGCCAGCAAGAAATTTTTTTAGGTTTGGAAACAAATAAAAGTCCGACGGGGCTAGGTCTGGCGAATACGGAGGATGGTTTAACAGTTTAAAGCCTAGCTGATGAATTTTAGCGAGGTGCATTGTCCTGATGAAAGAGAATTTTCCAGGGCGTTTTTCGCTTATATTCTGCTTAAGCTGATCCAAAAAGTCGCTGTAGTACTCGGAATTTATTGTTCTTCCCTTTTTGAGATAATTTATTAGGAGTATCCCTTTAGCATCCCAAAAGACCGTTGCCATGACCTTTCCAGCAGACGGTACTGCCTTTGCCTGCTTTGGAACTGGTTCGTCCTTTGCAGTCCATTGTGTGGACTGTTGTTTAGTTTCAGGGGTATAATGATAAACCCATGTTTCATCAACCATAATAAATCTACGCAAAAAGTCCCCTGGATCACGTCTAAACAGTGCCAAATTCTCCTCTGAAATGGTTAGCCGGGCTTCTGATCTGACGTAAGCAAACGCGGCACCCATAGGGCGGATAGCTTTCTTATACCTAAAACTTCACACAAAATATAATGAACTCGCTCTTTTGATATGCCCACAGCCTCACCTACCTCTTCCAATTTTAATCTGCGATCTTTTAGAATTAGTTTGTGAACGGTTTGCACCATTTCTTCAGAAGTTGCCGTTTTTGGCCTGCCAGAACGCGGAGCATCATCAGAGCTAGTACGACTACGTTTAAAGTCTGCTACCCAGGTTTTAACTGTGGTAAATGAAGGAGCAGATTCCCCTAGTGTAACATCTAATTCAGCTTTTATTTCCGTCGGCGATAATCCTTTGATATGGAAATATTTTATCACCGCTCTTATCTCGTTTTTTTCCATCTTTTAAAAGTGGCGCACTTTATAAGCTTTTAAAATATCCAGGACACAAACTACTTGACGCACTCACTTTAAACTTCGAGCGTATACTGACGACAAGCAAGACTACACAGACACGTTGGAACAGGAAGGCAAATCAGGCCTACTATAGGTTAGGCCGGAAACTTTTCATCCCATCCTCGTATATGACGTTATGCACCGTACCACGCCAAAATACCGCCTTCTAACGCGATCAGCCGCCAGTCCTCCACAGTCCTTTCTCGATCGGCAGTTTACCTATGTAGTTCAACGCGTAAGGCTCGTTAGATTCCGCTGTGTATTGGCCTTTACATTCCACTATCATTGCCGCCGTGTCTTACCGCTTTACCCCGGTATAGCCCAATTAGCTCTGTATTCTTTGAAAAAACGCCGACTTGTCGGCCCGCATTTGAAGCTCGATTTCGTTTGTAAAAGCCGCGAGTGTCTTCTCTTTTATAGTTATATTTTGTACTCTTTGCCATTCTGGACGGTACAGTTCGAGTCAACTAAGAAAACGCCACAAGCGTTATAAATGACAAAAGCCGCAATAATTTCCTTCTCTCTCAGATCCATCTCAGGCATTCCAACGACCAGTGGGAACTGACAGTTTAGATATGGCAACACTGTGGGCCTGTTATCATTAACAGGGTACATGATACATATTGCCTGGTAAGTGCTCATTAATTTGAATCGGTTTAGCAAAAATATGCTTTAAAATCAATTTCCAGTCTTTGAATATATTAAAAATATAATTATCCACATTTTTACTTCAAGGCATAACTTATGTTTATTTTTAAAAACATGTATGTTCAGTCTCTATAACTATCTATATCATTGATCCTGTCAAATCACCAGGCGTACAGTGTCGCCATATCATGTGCCTGTCAGTGACCTGTCATTACTTACGGGCAACCATTTTGTTTGGAATGTCTAATTTATGAGTCAGTGGCGTTTTAAACGATTGTTCAGTATTCTTAATATAGAGATGAACGTGCTAAATAGACTAGCAACGCTGCATAGTCCAAATTAGAATTCGAACGGAAGTCATCGCGTTAACATGAATCCCTTATTATTGTGAGCCCTTTTCAATGTTGCCAAGCCTTTACTTACACACACAAAGTTCATCGACTTCGGTAGCGCAGTTGTTAATGCGTCGCATTCATTTGCGAGCCAATTTTCTGGTAAACGAGACACGGTTTCGAATCCTACGGAAGACCATAACAATTTATTTTCATGGTTCTCTATAGGATTTGATGGATGCCGTATTAGCAGAAATTTAATTTATGTTGATATGACGTCCAGATTATTAAAAATCATCATGAGTTACCGTTTTCGATGATGGTGGGTGGGGTTTTCCTCACCTGTAAGTCAAATGGCACCATCAATAATCTTTAAGTCGCCCCGGAGCGCCACGGCAAATAATAATAATAGCCGTCCCTTTCCCCGGACAAGCTCAGCTTTTGGGGTTAAAATTCATTCATATGGAGTGAATTAGGGAGAGTATTATTATTATTACTCACGAACAAAAATATGGTAATCTTTTAAAAATGAATTCCTAGCAGATTCGAAACGAAACTAACAAAACCAGTAGGTACTATACCGCATTTAACAAGAAAATAAATTTCGTGTCCCTACAAGATACAAATTAGGCGAACTGTTACAACAAACAAGAGTTGAAGGTGGTCCTGGAATTACGACACGTCGTTATATAAATTTTGGTGTGGAGGAATATTGGGAATTTTTCTTTATAACAAAAACTTCCTTTAACTTTTTTTATATCTTTTATAATAATGCTAACGAAAATTAGCTTTCTCGGATTTTGTCGAATATCTCCGGAACCAGCCGGAAAATCTAGAACTTTTATGAATAGTTGAATTATCCGTCAAAATGTGAAATTTTTTTCCATTTAACCTACATTGTATTTCAGGCGATTTACAAGATCTCTATAGGCAAATTAAATCCGGACCACCCTGTATAGTGTGTCAAAAACGTCTGCACCTTATAGAAAATTCTTGAACGATAAATTTCTCAGAAAATTTTATTCCTAAAAGCCACTACAAACTTTATATATATTAAAAAACTGAACCATTTACGAGGGTGATCAAAATAAACATGAAATTAGTTTGTCGTGATTTCAATATTTTAATTTCACCCTGTAGGATATGCTTTTTGAATTTGATTGACGACTAATAAAAAAAAACGGTTGTCAGTAAGAAAGATTACGAAAATTATTTTAATTATTTATTAAACTATTCAACATAATTTTTTCTTTTTATAAAATAAAACAATCAGAGGCGTGCGGTACCCTACACTTTGAGATTTAAAAATAGATCTTTTTCAGTTTACAATGCGTAGAAATTGATATTAAATTAGGTACTATATTTTCTCTGAAACATTACGTAAACTTCGTAAATGTACTAACAATTCATTGGTGTAATGTGTAAACGCACGCACCACCCATGAGAAAATTAATTGTGTAAATGTACACACCCTATACTTCGAGTTCGTCGGCGGAAAAGCGTCTTGAAAGAGCCCGGTTCATCTTCCAATAGATTTGGCTTCGTGTTATTGACCCTGCTTTGCCGCGACAGTTGTCAGTCCGTTTGGAAACGAGAAATACGGTCGAGAGGCAGCGATTTTTACGTCGCCTTACGCATATTGCAATTCTCACCGCGAATCGACGTGTTTGTTTTTCGTAGTTGTTTTTCTTTTTGTAAAAAGGAGGAACTATGCACTGTGCCTGTGAACAATAATAATGTGGTAAATTGTGTCTATATTGTGTGCTCTTTGTTGAAAAAAGGATTTTCAAGTAGAAATTTTGAAAGGAAAACGGACATTATTAATTATTCTAGTAGACTAAAGGATCCTATCAATTTAGAGACGAAAGTAGAAAAGTCAGCAAAGAAATTTACCATGCATTTTCACGTAGGGTTCTATGAAAAGTATGAATGGTTAACCGGCTGCAAAACTTTGAAGAAATTGTTTTGCTGGCCTTGCCTACTTTTTAATATAGCCG